CAAATTTTTTTTTTCTTTTTAAAAAAAAAAAAGGAGAACAAAAACCCCCAAGGCCTGACAAACCCAAACAAAGCAACAATGCATACCTCCAACAGGGTGCGGGACATACTGGAGGGCTAGTTTCATCTCCGCTCTGTTTTCTAGTTTAAAAGCCATTGTTGAAGTCTGAAATTTAAGAAAAAAACCCCACAAATCTCAAACCTTACAGTTTATGCACAGAGTTTACCATGAAAATTTTCCACTGGAGCAAGCCTGACTTCTACATGAGGTAAGCTGGTTTTCTTTTTTTCCTTCTTGTTTCCTTATCCATTAGTCTTCCCTCAGTTTACAAGACATGAGAGATTTTAGGGCATGTTTAACCACTTGACAGTGCCTCAAATATACAGCTCGTCCACTAAAGCAGAAAATAAGACCCAGGAGAGGCCAAAAGGCTTTGAGGGCGCATCTTTTCCACTGTTGTGCACTTATTTAGAACATATGTTCTTTCAATCAGGAAATTTACTCTTTGTGCAACAGAAAGTACACTTTTATAGGAATGTTTTGCCTCATTTAATACAATCTAAAAATCAGCCTCAACAAGAGCGATCTTGCAAAGAGGCACAAGAATATGTCACTTCTTCATAGAGCGTCATGGACCATCTGTAGATGGAACATGGCACCCGTTAACATTTGCTTACATTTATCTACCCAGATTAGTTTCCAAGTCAGTCAAATTGAACTAGTGCTAAAGACTACCATAACATTCCTGTTTTGTTCTACAAATTACTAAACTTTGAATTGAGCTAATTTTGGAATGAACTAATGAAGTAAATTCAAAGAAAAAAGAAAACCAACAAAAAAACCCAGAACCTCTGGCAGTGGCTTAGCTAAAAGTTTAGATTTTGTCTGAAACCCATTAACAAACAAGAGGCATACACACACAGGAGTCATCATTGCATCTGATATTAAAATGTTGCTGTGCTTGCTCCTTATTCTCAGGAGGTTTACTTCATATTCAGGGAACGAGTGCCTTCAGCTATCCGTTGCAGCAACATGATGTAAGTGAAAAATACCTTGAAATTCCGACTCCTTAGACTACGAGAAAGTTTTTCCTACTATAATAGCTAGCTACTTACTACACTAATAGAAACCTCAGAACTGTATGTTCCATTTACCAGTAAAAAGGTATTTATAATTACAACCAACACAAAACCCACAGAACACACAAGACCAGGCCTAAATAATTACTTGGTTTTGCACTTGCACAGTGGAAAATACAAAACAGCTAACCCACCCTTAGTGACCTACCCTTGGCTTGAGTGGAAACCAGTTGATCTGCTTGTTGGTTTTATCATTCCAGTCCCAAGTTCCTAAATCCAGCTCCACTTCACCAAGGAAGCTATTCCTCCCAAAGGTATCATTGTGCCAGACAGAGATATTAAGGCTTTGGTTCTTTAGGAGATCCTTCTCAATTTTATACTGCCAGGAGGAAGAAATGAGAAAAAAATTAAACCAAGCTGGATTTTTATCAGTGCTGTGTCTGAAAGTGACAAGGTTAGAAAAAAACGTGTCCAGGTTTATACACCCATAACTGCTCACTTCTTCATTTCAGAACAAAACTCTCTTCATGATTTACTTCTTATTTCAAGCATCTTAAGCTCATACTTAGCTTGTGTTCATTTGCAAGAAGTATACAACAGTCAGTGTTCTCGATGCTATATTCAGGGTACACTGTAGACTTAACCTATCAATGGAAGGACATAGGTACTTCTACAGAGCAATCCATCTCATCCTAACACAGACATCTCTTTGGAGAGCATCTAGATCTGTGCCTAAAAGTTAAGGTTCCTCATACTTCATGCATGCAGTATTTCATGTCTAGTAATAGTTTGATAAATACCCGCAGTATTTCATTATAGACTGGATTAAAAGTTTTCTTTTTGACAGAGGTCTTCCGTTTGCCCAGCTTGTATTTCTCTGGAAGCAGGTAGGTCTTTACATACCTGAAATTTAGACAGGCTGGTTAGAAGAGCAAAAAACCCATCCTTTGCAACTTCCCCTTCCAAAATACACAAATGTTTTCTTATAAAGTAAAAGAAATCCACTTTAGCCATTATGTTCTTAAGCTGGTTACATTTAAGAAGCAGAACAGCAGTGAAGTATAACAATAGTTTCCAAGGTGGGACATTAACCTCCTTCTACCGGGGGGAGTCTGTTGAAATGTCTCCTCAACACATATAAATACAGAATATTTAACTATAGTATGCCTAGGTATCATATTTACAGGCTCTAAACCTATTGAAAAACCTACCAAAGCAGGATTTACCATCTAGAAAGTTGAAATTTAAAAAGAGTTTCATATTCTTTAAAGTTTGATCTTCCCACGTTAATAGATGTACTATTTTATGGTGGCAATTCTATATTCAGTTCAGAGAAGAAAACCATGTAAAGCACATTATAGCTTCTTCTTTTATTTATTTGGTTGTTTACTCCAACAGGTTATAGTGATTGGAAAAAAAATCAGTTTTCATTTACATGTTAAAAGAAAAACTTCCATTAGGAAAAAAATTACTCTCCGTTTATACTTACGGGTCTGAACGCTGTCGCTTCACATCTGCCACTGCCAGGTCTTTACACTGGCAAATAAAAATGTGGAGCTCATTCAGCTGTTCTACATAATCAATAGCAAACTGAATGTTTCCCTTCACATCGACATTGCCAAAGTCTGCACTATAGATGCTCATTAGACTTCCGCTCACCTGTATCATACAAGAAAAGAAAAAATTTTCCAGGCCTTGCATTTCACCAGATACTTCAAGATTAAGGTAGAAGTTACACTCAGAATTCAGACAGTAAAGAAATCAGCTGTGTCCCATTAGATGTAATAACAAAATGTAATGGACACTATTATAAAGGTTCTCAGCAAGCAGATTAACAAAAGAAAAGTTACTCGTAAATCAAAGGTGTTAGGCCAAGTTTTCTACAAAAAATTTGTATGTGTTTATTGTATTGAGATAGAAGAAATAAAATGATAGGATGCTGTAGATCTGGAGATTGCCTGTGATCAGATCCTTGAAATACTACTCATGTATCTCTTCAGCTGATTTTCCTTGCAGAAGGCAGAGCCTAAGAGTTTAAGACAACAGGCCCTCTCAAAGTACCAACAAAAAGATTAGTGCTAAAGTCTGTGGCTGAATTGGATGCCTAAACAAAACATACTTGAAAATTAAACCCTACCCAGGTAGAAAGAGAAGGATGTACACATTTTGTTATCTCAATATCCTTCCCCAAAATTCTCCTTTTCCCAATAAAGTCCACATAAATTAATGACTTCTGGTTAGCTAGTTCACTGACTTAATTACACACTCCACATACCAATACTGTCTCTTTCTTTCACTTATTTCTCCCCCACTCCCCTGTCTCCTTTTCTAAATGTTTGTTCTGTATAAATTGATCCCTACTTTCAGCTACAAATGTAAGCTCTTAGGGTGAAAGCCATCTCTTTGTTCAGTGTTTATAAGTATGCTGCACAATGGAGTCCCGAACAGGCTCCGATATATTACTAGAAAACACAGAGAGTAAAACCGATTTTTTTTTTTTTTTTTTTTTTTTTAGGCCATTCCATGCCAGGGTTCACATAACAAAGAGGAAAGGAAGGAGACAGGTGCCAAGGAAAGAAAGATAAGATGAATAAGAAGGGAGCCAGAACAATACTGAAGAGATTAGCAAAAGCAAAGTGCCATTAAAACAAGGCTTTGGTTTACATACAGAGGATAAGGAGGCCATGCCAGAAGAGCTGCTAAGATTGGTTAGAGAGCTGGGACTCTTCTTGATTCTGCCAAGGGAATAACTGCTTTCTGATGCTGTATCTGTCTCTCTGTCATCACTCTATAAAAACATCACAGAAATAAAGTCTGTGTAGGTTCTTTGTAGTCACAAGGAACATTAAAAAAGAAAAAGAACAAACCCAAACAAACAGAATTTTAATGCAGATTGGGAGTCAGTGAAAACCTGAATTTAAATCCCCTTGTAGTGCCAACATGAGTAATTTGTATTTCTTAAATTAGGTCATGCATTTAAAAAAAGAAATTGAAAGGCAATTTTTCTGATGGAAAGCCTACACTGAAATTTTTTTAAAACCTGGTTGTATTACTGCTTTTTGTTTGGTTTTAAATCTCAAAGAGCAATGAAAAAGTACAAAGTTAACTTTATTGGAACAATTAAACTCAACTTCTCTACTTCACTATCTCATGCAAGTGACAATGCTCAGGTCTTTTACCAGTCCCTTTATGTTATATAGTGAATACCATCAATTCTGTAGCCTCTATCTTTAAGGCAGTTAGCTGGAAGGTAACATACACAGTAGAACAGCACTGGATACAGCTGGCTTTTGCAAAAAGCCTTTCTTGCAAGAGGGCAACCAGAGCCCTGCTTTTGCATCAGGGAACTGCAGTTTTGGTTTAATTGGTCATCATCAGGTTATGTACTTACAACCCAATTCTGTCTCCATGCTATCACTGTACTAAAGTATCGACGCTTTACTTCCCACATGTGCTTTAGCATCTTCCTATGCAAGCTGTTATAGAAACGTCATCTCCTTGCTGTGTTCCACCTGTGAGCAATTTACATGGCTTCCTCTCCTTTATACAGTTTTGAACTGTCATAGATCTACTAACAGATGCAAGATTAGTAACACCATAATTTCTACACATATTAAGAAAAAGAATATAAATATCTAGCAAATAAGCATTTTGAATAAGTCTTTTTATAAAGATCCATTGATTGTAGCTTCTCTGGCTATATCTATACTGCTAAGTAAATGCAGGCCAGGATTGCACCCCAGTTCAGAGGCCAAAGGTAAGGACTGACTAATGTCCACCCTACCTAGGGCAAGGCTCCTTGAGAGAAAAATTGTTTTGGAGAGAGCTATTTGGGCCTGTCCAAAATAAACCCAGAGACTGCAGTAACAGTTAAGCCGTGTGAGTAATCAGTCCCGCTACATGGACTCTTTGGAAGACAGGAAAATCCTAAGTCCTCTTTTAGAGGAAGGATATATAGAATCATAGAATCATTTAGGTTGGAAAAGACCTTTAAGATCATCCAGTCCAACCATTAACCTAACATTACCAAGTCCACCACTAAACCAATTAAGGGGACAGTAATAATTTCATGTTTCCTGGCTTGGTGGCTGGATTATTTTTTAATGAAAGTAAAAACTAGGAATCACTAAGGTTGGAAAGGATCTCTAAGATCATCAGTCCAACCATCAACCCAACACCACCATGACCACTAAACCATGTCCCCAAGTGCCACATCTACCCGTTTTTTGAACACTTCCAGGGATGGGGACTCCACCACCTCTCTGGGCAGCCTGTTCCAATGCCTGACAACCCATTCTGTAAAGAAATTACTCCTAATATCCAACCTAACCCCACCCCAATGCAGCTTGAGGCCATTTTCTCTCATCCTATCACTTGTTAGTTGGGAGAAGAGACCAACACCCACCTCACTACAACCTCCTTTCAGGTAGTTGTAGAGAGCGATAAGGTCTCCCCTCAGCCTCCTCTTCTCCAGGCTAAACAACCCCAGTTCCCTCAGCCGCTCCTCATAAGACCTGTGCTCCAGACCCTTCACCAGCTTCGTTGCCCTTCTCTGGACACGCTCCAGCACCTCAATGTCTTTCTTGTAGCGAGGGGCCCAAAACTGGACCCAGTATTCCAGGTGCAGCCTTACCAGCGCCGAGTACAGGGATACAATCACCTCCCTGCTCCTGCTGGCCACACCATTCCTGATACAAGCCAGGTTTGCCTAAGACCATTCTAGCTGCTGTCCATACAGTGGGTCAGCAGAAGAGATAGAGGACTGAATCCAGTTCTGCTTACTTTCAACCTTGTCCTTAATTTACTCAGCAAAGCCTGCTCTCTGGATAGGAACATTCAAAGCTCTTCTTGTGGAGGTTTGTGGAATGTCTAGAACTTCAGGAGACAAAGAATTATTAAGCACTGGGGTGAGTGCATGCCTCCAGAATGCATTACCGATGTGATTCCTCCCCCTCCCCCCCAGTGAATTCCAAATGTTAAATACGGATATTGTTACTATTCACAAGTAGAGAACCCTTAATTTTTTAGGCTCTTATCTCTTTTAAGCAGAAGGAAAAAGACACTGGTACTCTAAGAGATAGATTTCTTTGTATTTCTTTAATTCAAAAGTATCCTGTTATCAGAATTCATTATTTTTAAAGTAATTCCAGAACTGAACTAGCATATAAAAATGAGTGTTAGTGTTAATACTATCGTGACTGCACGGTATCTACAATGCTTATTTTTAACCTGTTATTTCTACCAGATTTATGTTATCCATTCATTAGTTTTGTGCTTCGTATTGGCCAGATGGTACTTCAGTGATTATAAACACCAAGGTAGAACCAGCACATGGTATACATAGATGGAATTTTTATAGATATACACTCTATTTTTTTAATATATATACACACACATATATATTTATATGTGTGTGTGCGTGCATGCATATGTCTTGTAATACATCCTGTGCTGTGAGCTTGACAACTCAAGACAGTATTGGAACTAATCACAACTTTAAAGATAAATTTGGGGGCCAAAATAAACAGATTTGGTTTTAAATTCTGCACTTTCATTAAGATTAAGATTAATGAAACCTGTATCACCACATTTTGGTTATTTTGGGCTTTAGGAGGGAGTAAGGTAGGACAGGGCACAGCATATTCCTGATTCTGACCCTTCAGTCCTTTTAGACATGCACTTTTAGAGAAATAATCCAAAATATTGGTGCTTATGCTGCAGTTAGTGATAAGCACTGGGATAAGCAGTGATTCCTCATTTTATGGCACAGACATGGGTATTTTTGTGATATCTATGCCCTAAATTCCTGTGTCCCATTTAAGCCTGTGTCCACTAATGCACATCCTTCATTGACAGGACTGACATGTTTGTACCACCATTTGGGAGACCTGTATCAGTAACTCTGATTTGCTAACAGCCTGGGGGAGGAGGAGGTTTGCATGCACAGTTACCATACAAATTCACATTCATACTATGGCACTCAAGGGCGGGAAAAAAAAAAAAAAAAAGAATATATGGTGTTGTCCAAGTTCAACAATGATAAGGTATTTCCTATTCTCCAGAGCTTCCTGTTCCCTGTGACCAATGGAACTACCTCTCTTAGGCATTTATGGTAGGACATTTGTGCTTGGTCTCCACTCGCTGCTTTACTGGCTGTTTGGGAAGTCATAGACCAGGCAGTTCAAACCACTTTAAAACTTCAGTGTCATTTTAGGAGATTTGAATATGGCTTCAAAGCTTATTCGAAGGCCCACACCATGATGATGATAATAACAATAATAATAGACTTACAGAGGCACAGTATGTTGTTATAAATTCTGAAATTTCACTTACACGCAGTTAACAGTCCAGTACCTGAAGCTGCATCCCTAAGCAGAACACCAAGCTAATACCCATCTGAGAAAGGTTACCAGATGGTGACTTTCTTACAGTACTACACATTCATTTTAGATTTTAGGCTCTGAAGAAAGTAAATGTATGCACATATGTAAGTTCTGAATAAAAAAAAAACAGTACTACACATTCATTTTAGATTTTAGGCTCTGAAGAAAATAAATGTATGCACGTATGTAAGTTCTGAATAAAAAAAAAAAAACAAACCCAAACCTGTTAGATTAAGGACAGAGATTGCCTTTGGGAATAACAGCAAGCATTCACTATGCTTCAATCTCCTAGATAAAACATGCTCTGTATGTTTAGCTGTACAGTAAGAATAAACCTCTAGTTACTGGACTAAAGCTTTTGAAAGGTTAATCAGCCACAGGTTGTTTGGGATCATCTCCTGACTGGTACATCACAAACTCAACTCCATGCCATGGTCCAACATTAAACTGACCTGGCAGACCCTGGAAAGCACTACCTGACAAATGCATAATGCCACAGTAATCAAAGTTTTAGTTACAGTATTTCAGAGATGGAACTTACCTCTTCCTGTAGGAATGATGGTACTGACTTGCTCAGTCCTTTGAGTTTTTCAGGGTTGGAAGACAGCTTATCAGGCTGTGAAGGCACTGTGGAAACTAAAGAGCAGCAATTCAAAAGGTTTCAAAAATAAGTTTGTACATCAAAACAGTGCGATTCCATAACAGGACATGGTTAGAAACAAACCACTTCAGATGAAATACATGCACAGCCAGTTTACAACTTGGATGCAAGATTCCCCCCAACCCAGGACTCAGAGAAGCTATCATTAGCTGTCATCCTTTGACATCTCCTATAACACTGACCAAAGAGCTTTGTTTGGCAGGAGCAGAAATGTTCAATTGCTTGACATGATGTAGAAGCCTGAGTGCTGCAAGCAAATTCTCGTCAAATGTGATGAAGAAAGCATTTTCAGTTTACCTTCTAGATTTTCTTCCTAGAACAAGGATAAGTGCACTCACGCACTAACAATACCATCACTGACATTAGAGTCATCGTAACGTTCTTGGTAAGAAGTTAGTGGACAAGTCAAACATGGTTCTTTTTTTTTTTTTTTTTACTCAAATTAATGGCAATAGGAACATTTGTCTAAATCAAGCAATTTTTAGACCCGAACTTGGAATTTTCAAGTATTCCTATTTAATTATAAAATGTATATCTCATTAATGATGCAGGCTTTTTTGCAGCCCATCTCTTCAACTTTTGTATACCTCTACTGAACTTCACTTCCATGTTCTTTCACTGTACAAAGCTTAATTGCACAAATGAGCCTTGCAAAAATCCAGTTTGCAGTAAGCCCACAATTCTCAGCATTTTCCATGCTCTAACCCCACTTAGATTTAACAATGCACTAAAGCTCTGTATCTTTGGACTGGATACACATTGTTAAATGCACCAATACTGAGTATCATATGACAGAGAATTATTTGGCAACAAACAGCCAGCTACAAGGACATGTATCTATTGCATAAAACGAAACACTGCACTCATGATGGGATTGTTTGCAATGCATGAGTTAAGCTTTTCCAAAGCTTTTGCTGCTGAAGCTCAAACAGTGCTCAACATATCAGTTATTGTCAGTATGCAGTTAGATGCATTTTCCCCATTGAGCAAGTATCTAGTCCAGATGTATAATTTGTTAGTTGTTAAACAAAAAAAGGATTTTTAATGTATTAGTTTAAATATCCATAGAGAAGTCTCTCCATTGTCTGCTGGAAGAATCCTATTACTCACTTCCTGCTGCATTTTCATTCCTCTCTTGATGTTGATCAGGTTTTGGACCTGCTCAGTGCAGTATAGACAACAGTCATTCAGTAGCACAAACAGCTTTGCAATGTTACAGATAGCATCAATATATTTTAATATGTGGGGAGTTTTTGACTTCCCCAGACCCCATATGTTTCTATGTTTTGCATTGTGTCCTCCTTTGAGGAGCTGGATCATAACAAAGGTAACATGAGTGTACAAGTTAAGCAAAGCAAAAATATGAATAATATTTTCAAGAGAACTTGCCTTACTCTGTCTGTACAGCCATCAATTTAGCTGAGTTTGTAATTTTTTCAAAAATTCACTCTTAAATTTAACTCAAAAATACCCCACCCTTTTCAGATAAGTGCCTACGCATTCCATACTGAATATATAACATGCTTTCAGTAGGGGGTCTCCATCTGAAAGCAAAGTGGTACTTAAAGTCTTGTTAATTTACTGGACATTGCATGCACCCTATTACGCTATGACCATCCTGTTATACTATAGGCCACTAATATGCAAAATGCTTCAAAGCATCTAAAACATGACAATAAATGCAACTGTGCACAACTGCTTTTTAAAAGTGTAGCGGCACAATGCCGTAAAAGAATTGTGTGTTATATTCCACCATATTCAGTGTTATTTGATCATTTTCTATTATGTTCATCTTCACATGTTCTTGGAGAACGTTTGCTTTTATTTTGCTAAATTAGGAATTTCTAAAAGCATACAGAAAAATTTAACAGTAAGGCATCTGTAACGTACCAATGGGTTGACGATATCAACAGCAGATCATCTAGCAGTTCATCTATTGCTTAGAGTAATTCTACTTTGCTGGATTAAGACAGGGATTATAAGAGAGGTTCCTTTTCAACTGATGTATTCTGAAGGGTGTTTTGCATAAGCAAAAGTCATCTTGCATCTTATAATGCAACAGATGAACAGACAAATTCAATGTCTACTTAGGCCAAGCCTTTCAACTGAGCTAATATTCAAAACTCTCAATGACTGTTTGATAGGCTGAATGACCAAAGGCCAAAATAATACACTGGTAGGTGGCACAAAGTTTCTACAGATACAGCCAGTCATAAGTATATTCCTTAAGAATACAACACAACAGAATTCTGCAAAAGCATTTAAGGCATGCTGAAGTTAATCTAAAAGCGCAATACAATTCTTGGTTTCAAAACTCCTTCACTAGCAAACAGAAGCCACTGAAAACCAAAAAACTTCCATGCAGACACAAAAGATATTTACCATCTTCAGCACTAAGAGCTAATTCTTCCTTTGGATTATTTATTTTTCCTTTATCTGTACAGAAAAAAAGTAACACTTAGTTAGAAATTTTGCTGTTCAGTATGATAAAATGGATGGCAGTGGTAATCACAGAATTAAGCGTAGTGAGGACAAAAAACCCAAACAAACCAGCAGAGCCACAGGAATGGTTAAATTCAAGAGGTGCTTTCTACTTCACACACTACTTCAGGCCTACATCCAAGCAGCAGTCTGATGTTGACTCAGTTTCTATCAGTGTGCTGTTGCAACAATGTTAGTACGTACTCAAAACCTAGAAACTAGTTAGAAGCAAGCAATAGCGTAAGTAGCATTAGAAGAGTAATTTGCCAACAACAGCCAACGTCTTTCAAAATCTACACCTCCACACTTCAGTTTACAAAATGTAAGCTCAGTTTATGTCTTCCCCATTAGATGTGAGATAAGCATGAAAACACTCAGGGGCAGAGTGAAGGGATACAGGAATAATAATTTAAAAAAAAAAAATCCTAGGAGGCTACAGAGGGAAGTCAGGAATGAATTTTAAGTACAATCTTGCCTCGCTGTATTCTCTTAAAATGAGTTTGGTGTATTAACTGCTAGAATACACAGGTGAAATGCTACTAGATGAAGATGATTTTTTCATACTTCCACTGCCTACTAACTTGACCCAAGCAAGAAGCCAGGAGACAGTGGCAGTTATTGCTCATTACCGATTTGTGTAGTTGCCAATACTTTCACTATTGAAAAACTCTCCAAGAAACAGTTCGTCACTGATTAACACAGTGCATTTTTGATAGATGTCTGCTTCATAGACCAGTGTTGTTTCAAAATTAACACAAAGAACTGAAAACTAGACCGTATGAGAAAAGAATTTGGTTCTACAGTACAAGCTCTATATGGCTTATTGAGAAACAAAGACAAAAACCACTACTTGGCAAAGCTGTATGGAAGACCAGCATGAACATGTTTAAGCCAAACTGGGGGTCATGGGAGACACACACAAGCTTTGTGCTCACTTGAAGTGGCTGATGGAATGTCCTCTAGACTTTTGGAAGGCATTTTCCTATCTGCACTCCTTTTCAAAGCCATCAAAACTGGGTTTAATTCTTCTTCTGAACCTGTTACGAGACAAAACACATGAACACTGCACACACAGACATGCCATTTTAAGCAAGTCACTAAAAAACCAACCACGGATTTCTCATGAAAATCTATTTTGACTGTTAGCAAAGACAGTGAGCATTCAATGAAAATACAAAATAAATCCAAAATAAACATCTAATTTTAAGTGTCCATTTGCTCTCTCAATTCTCTCAGCCATCAGGCAGGTTGGTTGATTTGCCCTGTGTAGGTATTGGTGTCTGTACTGACTAATAAGGAAGTTCTGGGCCATTATGGCACTTAACTGTCTAAGAACAACATAGGATAAACTCACACTTTATCCATTTTGTAACCATCTTGTTATGAATCAGCACAAAAAAGTTAATAGCTTTAGTTTTTCCCTCTGTGTAAATTTGTCCATTATATTTTCTCCCTAGTGAAAGTAATTTGGTTTCAATACTTGAGTAACAACCACAAAAAACCCACCACCCCAGTTGTGGAGATATTTGGATCCCTGAAATTATGCAATTGTCTGCAAGGGCAGAATCAAGACAGACCTACTTCCTTCAGAAACCTTTAAGACCCTGTCTTCTCCCTACCTCTCTTTCCTTGCAATCAGCCAACCAAACAGGCCTTACAATGTTGCTGTGTGTAATTATGGGTAAAACCAAATTATGTTTCATTTTTCCTTATTTGTCTTGAGTTTTCACTGACTTCCATTGGAACCTCACTTTCAAAACAGGCTCAAGAGTAAGTTGGCTGGCCCTAGAAACTTCACATATTTCTCAGATTCTCCAGGTGAAGAAAACATTCCCAGTCTCTCAACAGCAGATTAAAAAGGTTATCTCCTCTACCTTAAGCACTTTGGTAACTATCACACACTATACATTGACTAGAGCTGACATTCAACCAAGTACTGAGAATCCTAGTAAACAGGGCACTTCACTTATACAGACACCTTCCAGTGCAACAGGCAGCAATGCTAAGTGAAATTAGGCTAATGGTTGGACTGGATGATCTTAAAGGTCTTTTCCAACCTAAACGATTCTATGATTCTATAAATAGCACAGAGTATTGGTATTGTCTTTATATCCAGCCATTCCACTGATAAGTATTTACCTTTGCAGACTAGCTGGTCAAACTAAAGAGTGAACTTAGTCAGCCACTGATATTTTTTTCCTCTTTTAATCCAGTATATTTAAAAGAAATACCAGATTTTGAGTATTACAGTGTTATTAGTTTGAAGGGGATGTCACAGGGGAGGAAGAAAAGCGTAAATCCTAAAGACTGACGCAATTGATTCATGCTGCTAAACTCCCCTTACCAAAAAGGCTTACCCAAATGTACTACATGTTTGTCAAACACTGTCCAATTAAAGGACTTAACTAGTTCTTCTCATCCTTCCCAAACAAATATCCAAAGCATTTAATTAAGAAATAGGTATCACACAGACTTTCGGTTAACGTATTTCGAGTTGGCTACCAAAAAAAACTGTAGCCATGTTTAACGACCCAGCACCATGAATTTTAGAAATCAAACAGCTCACGAGTAGGACTTCCAGTTCCAGAGTGTGAATCAGAGTTTTCATCTGAAAACTTGGATCCCAAATTTGAACTGTCCCCTTCCTCTTCATCGTTATCCTCATATTGAGACATTAGGCAGAGTTGAGCTCCTTCTGACTGGGGGGAGTTGCTCTCCTCTTTAAGTGGTGTGCTTGCTCTTCTGAATTTCAACAGTGCTTTGAATTCTGAATTCTTTTCAGAGGCATCCAAGGGTGTGCTTTCGTCTCTCTCTCCTTTTTCATTTATCTTGAACGGCTCGATTGCAATCATATTGGTCTCTCCTTCTAAGGGAGGAATATCATTTGGAGCCATGTTTCTCTTTTCTATTTTATTAATAGCTCCATTCCTTTTAGGAAGATCAGAAGCTTCAATTTCACTTACTGCAAAATCTTTTACTGAAGCTTTGATATTTTGTTCTGGATCTCCCCCTTTGACAGCTATCTTCATCTGTGTATGACAGCTACTAAAATCATTATGTGGCTGTGACATTGTCGTGAATAGAGTCTCTTTTTGTGATGGAAACATATGATCCCCAAACTTTTCTTGTTTATGTAACTCTTTGGATTTTGGATATGAAACTTCAGATGCTTCTTGAAGATCTTTTTCTAAAGAGCAATTGAATTCACTGGATTTTGCAATATTTGAAACAGAAGTTTTTTCTATTGTTTCTTGTATTTCTTGAGGAGGATCTCTCTCTTGTTGATGTGGAGCATGCATACTTAGATGAGTCTGTATTTTACCTTGCATTTTCTTATCCATATTTTCCAGCACAGAAGATGGTGTTTCAGAGACCTCTTTTGGTAGCTTCTGCAAATTAACATCACATACTCCATATTCAGCCTTGGACAGTGCAGATCTTTCCATGGTCTCACTAATTTCCTGGGGCAGCTCTCCATCATGCTTATAGGTCGTGCTTTTAACTTCCATCTCAGCAGTCCTCCGTACTGTGCCGTCAGCACGTTTTGGTTTAGGAGGTGGCATTTCAGAGGCCTCCTTCAGCAGATTCTCTGTATCAGAACTCAAGCCACTGACCTTGGATGGGGCAACCGACTTTTCTATGGTCTCACCAACTTCCTGCAGCAACTCTCCATCATGCCCATAGGTTGTGCTTTTAACTCCTACCTCAGCAGTCCTCCGTACTGTGCCGTCAGCACGTTTTGGTTTAGGAGGTGGCATTTCAGAGGCCTCCTTCCCCAGCTTCTCTATATCAGAACTCAAATCACTGACCTTGGATGGGGCAACCGACTTTTCTATGGTCTCACCAACTTCCTGCAGCAACTCTCCATCATGCTCATAGGTTGTGCTTTTAACTTCTACCTCAGCAGTCCTCCGTACTGCGCCATCAGCACGTTTTGGTTTAGGAGGTGGCGTTTTGGAGGCCTCCTTCAGCAGATTCTCTATATCAGAACTCAAACCACTGGCCTTGGATGGGGTAACAGACTTTTCTATGGTCTCATTGAACTCTTCAGGCTGACCAGTATCTTTTTGGCATGTTGATTCTATGCTACAATTAGTTTGTGATATACTATTCATGTCATCAGATGTTTTCATTCCCACCCTTCTATATTCAGAAGGTTGAAATGCAAAGGTTTCTCTGAGCTGGTTCTGCAAACCAGCTTGAGGCTTCTCGGAATCCTCAAGAGTATCATCCTTGTCTGCTGCTTGACGTCCTAGATGGAAAGGTTCAAATTGCCTAAGCAGTTTCCTGAGGCTCTTTTTGTTTTCATGCTCATCTGTTGATGGCACATTCACTTTTCCTGTGCTTTTGCCTATTTCTTCTTTTTGATCGTCATCAGCAGTGTCATGGCTCTGTTCTACCGTTCTTTCAAAGACCTTGCACTGGTTTGAGTGAAAAGTTGTCCCTTTCAAAATGTTTTCTTTTAGGTTCAAGCTAGATGACATCTCAGAGTCTTTGCTTTCTAAGTTCTTTAGGCCTAATTTAAATACATCAAGCTCAGCTTCCTCTTTAGGAAGATTGATATCTAATGGAGTAGTCTTGTTCTCTACTTTTTCTGTAGGCAAACATAGACAGTCATCTACTGCTGTCTCCTTTAAAGCATCTTTATCAACAGGTGATTGGAACAACTGCAAGGAAACAGGATGTTCTTTTGATGAAACAGCACTTTTTTCTACACATTCTTCAACTTCTTGCTCTGGAAGACACATCTTTTCCTGGGGTTTTGAGGTAACTGGTTTTCTATCCAGCTGGACAGAGTCTGCATTTTTTGGGTGTGTCACATTCAGACCTTTCAGGGTAGGAGATCCTAGAGGCAGTTCACATACCACAGAATCTAGTTTCTGTGTTTTTTCTCTCTCAGATGTTTGGGTTTGTTGTTGAATTAACTCTTGCTTGCTCACATTATCTCTGCCTTTATTTTCCTCTGATTTTCTTCCATAGGTTATTGAACTAGGATTATTTTGCAAAGAAACATTTCCCCTATCAATGCTACTCTGTAATTTAACTCTATTATCCCAGAAGTTTCTCAGACTCTGGAACTGTGAGGGATCTGAAATTTGATTCTTGGACTTTTCATTCATTTTTTCTTTTAAAGACGAAACCTGGAAGCTGGGCTTCTGTTGGGAACAAGCAGCAACTTTTCCTTTAAGTGTTTCTTTCTCGTCTTTGTCTTTGCTTTCTGGGGAAGCTGAAGTGGCACCAACTCTTGGCTGCAAGTTATTGGCTTTTGGCAATACTGTATATTCATGAACTTCACCATCAGATGGAAGTGTTAGTTCTGGCTTTTCAACTGCATGGCCTGGTCCAAACTCAAAAGAGTTTTTATGTTCATTCCTTGAAGCCTGGCTTGCACAACTTAGTTCAGCACTTCTTAACATATTCTTGCTTTGATCATTCAATCCATTAGGTAGGTATACTGCAGTTGGTTTTGTCTTGTCATTTTCTCTGAGACCTTTCAATGCATCGCCACCTGATGCATTAGCATTGATACTAACTTCTTTCTCTTCATGACTGGGCATAGTTTTATCCCTTTCCCAGAATGCTCTGATCTTCCTTATTCTTCTTTTTTCTTGTATTGCCTTTTCCGATTCACATTTCTGAGCTGTTAGCTTGTGTTCTTGATGTTCCATGAGATTCAGTTTTTGATTTTGTTGCTTGATTTCTTGACCATGTTCTTCTTCTTCATCTCTTGTACAGTCAAATTTAGTTAGTGATTTGTCATTTTGCTCCTCATTCTCTTCCCTTTTCTTGGGTTCCATCCTCTCTTTTATCAGCTCTATATCTTCTGAAATAAATGATGCAGATGAAATACTGTTCCGTTGTTTGATCTTTGTAAATGGTAACTCTTCTGTAACTTCTGTTGTTCCACCCATGCTAGGCCCACTGTGTTCTGTAGGAAGAACTGCTGTTCTGGTTGAGAAGTCCATTTCCTCTTTGGGTTCCCTGCCTTGAGATCTAGCTGATGCATGTTTCCTATCTTCAGTACCAGAACGTCTTTTAAACCAATCTAAAACTTTTGATACAGATTCATCAGCCTCTTTCATGAGTTCATCAGCATGTCTGTCAGGCTTGAAAGTGGTTTTAGCACCTCGCTCCTCAACAAGATCAGGCTTACCTTGTTGAAGACTTGTAGAATTGGTATTTGACACCTCATGTGCTTCTGTCTTAGCAGAAAGCTGATGTTCATCTACAATGTAAACAAACTTATCAGAGTTAGCAGACACATGACTTTACAAATGTTTGATCTATCTTGAAAAGTCTCTCTTTTTTTTTTTTTTAAACTGTTAGAAGAGAAAAAGAGTTCTCTATCCTTGTGTTTTTGGAAAGAGCCATAGTGCAGGCAATAGAGTGAAAAATAAATTCCTGCACCGAGATATCCTACTGGAAGATTAATCATACTACTTTTGAGGATGTGAGCAGATAAGATTGGTTATCCCCATTCTAAAGGAAACGGCTACTTTGAAGGGGGTGCTGAGCGGGGGTGGAGGACAACCCAGCATATTTGTGTTTAGTCGCATGAGAAAATCCCCAAGTCACAATTGGATTATTACCAGGGACAGCAGTTGACAGCAGTACACCAAAAAAAATTCTTCAGTTCCCATGCAGACAGACCTACCAGGCCTTATGACAGGAATTTTATCCAAATGCTATCTATTCATCTTCATCATCCACAATAAAGGTTCCTATCCAGGCTCTGATTTGATTGTTAATTATTAAGAATACCAATAGCATATAAGCAAAAATATTAACTACATTAGAGCATTAAAATACAAAAAAGTACTGCAGAATTAAATTCTAAATCATGTAGCACATTCCTACTAATTCTGTTTCCTAGCTGTTAATTCTTAGGCACAAGTGATTTAAACATTAAGACGTGCTATATGCTATTGCATTCTGTTCTTTACTCCTATTAGTGTCTTACCAGTAAAGTTTTTGTGTGACTTTGATTCATGGCTCAAGAACTGGTTGGCTTTATTTTCACATGTCTCATCAGCATTCAGTTCATTACTGCTATTTGGCAGGGTATTGCTGAAGGTCTTCTGTGGAGTTTCAAGTTTCTGAGGAGTAACTGTCTTTGTCTGCAAGGCTTCATTAACCAGGAAGACTGACCTCTTAGTGTCACAAGGATTGGATGCTGATGTATCATCTTGTAAGCCATCTATTGTTTTTACTTCTAAAGCTGATGAATAGGTTCCCAAAGGCTTTACACCAGAGATTTGCTTATTCCCAAATGAATCTGATCTAATAGCATCATTTCCACTACTCTTTATTTCATCAGATTCTAACAAATCAAACTCTCCTTTTTCTCTACCATGGTGTAGCTGTGGGCTTTGCAGAGGTTCTCCTTTACCTGTGCCAGATGAGAACCTCACTTGTTTTAGTTTTTCCAGTGAAATTTGTGTAGAGTCTTCCACTTCTTTCGTAAGGGAGTTCTTCTCAGTTTCTCCTTCAAAAATAGTTGCAGTAGGATGAGCGTTCTTTTTCTGAACATCTAACATCTGACTAATACGTACTTCCGAGTCAGTGGAACTTGAACTCGAACTGCGCTTCAGAATGCCCCTGGGTGGTGTACCAATGCCATTAATCCTCTCTGTCTGTGTGGCTGGTTTTGGAACAAAGTCTTCTCTTTGTGACACAGGATCTGTTGCTTTGTGAATTAATTTTCTAGCTTTTGGGACAGGACGCTTAACTAGTTCTTTCTGTGATTCATCAGTAGGTTCTACAGAAGGCTTCTCGTGTTTCTCTGTTTCATAATTTTGTAAGTTTGGTTTAGGTTGGCTCTCTTCTGAGAGTGACAAAATTTCTGTAAGACATATACAGAGAAGAAATTCTAAGTTTACATGACATTCATCTGCATAAACAGAGGGGTATGACAGTGCAGATCTAGAATGCAGTGATTATACTGGTTTATTAAAAACATCTACAGTAAAACACAGGAGGAAATTCAACATAGGTGTTGATTTCATTTGTATGTAACAGGAAGTTTTAACAGATTAAAATCCTGCAGTTATTTTTTTATTCTAGAAATATTAACTATTTGATCATTCCAAAGATAGACAGCACACCAGCTCAGAGTTATTTTGATCAGCGTTATTCCTGCAAGGGACAAACTTCGCAGGGAAGGGCAGCTTTTGAATATGCATACACCTTTTCAGGTTCAGAACATAAACAGCAACCCACAGAAATGGAAACAGGCTATTTCCACATTCATATGGAATGAGGTAAAACACAGAAGTGATCTGCCAGTAGGGAGATGAAAATTTTTTTATTCCTAATGTGCAAGTCTTCCTTTTTCCTGTTGGCAAGCTTCATAACAGAGACAGGAGAGTAGTTTCCACGTATAAGCCTCTAAATTACAACTTCAAATGCCTATCTTGTGATATATCATCACTCATCTACTTGCTTGCAGAGAATACTGCAGGAAAGGGAGTATTCAAAAATAATCAGGACTGAGAAAACAAATGAAAAAAAGATCAAAGAGAGCTAGGCTTCTTCTGTTGAGCCAATAGCAGCAATGACTGAAAGGTCATAAAGACAGCTATGTCAAATTCAAGGAAATTTCTCTGTTCTCTTAACAGCAATTCAAGACAAACAGCCCTCTCACGTGGAGCACAATACTGACTAGAACTGTAAGTAAAAGAAAGGAAGCAAAACCCATTTACTCACATAAACAGACATTTCCTGAGTGTATTCACGCTTTACATGGGGTTTGAAATGAACTAATTGATAGCTCCTAGTAGTTAAGATAAAACAGGTTTTGATATCTTACAAAAAGAAGCAATAAAAGTAAAAATAATTTCCATATAAAACACCAAGGAATTCATAGTCATATGCTAAATAAGTATACTTACCCTTCTTTGATAGCTGAGGTAGAGTGGTTGGTCTGTCTTCTGATTCCCCGCTGTTCAAGTCATCACCTGATGCAGTGGAATTAAATGGATTTCTCCTTTGCTAAAAGAGGAGCAAACATTATAATTGCAGTCAAACTATTCTATCAGTACAGTCTTGACAAAATAAATGAAAGGGCAGTGATTTCTTCTGTCTCACTACCCTGTCAGCAAAGAATCTGAAAGCATGCCTCTTAAATTGGATACATGAGAAAAAACCTGAACAATATGAAACGGGGAACTATCAGAAATGCTAGCGATAGCCTCATCCTATTCTTTTTCAAGTCACCAACAGCAGAGATAAGCCACCCCTTAAAGACACTTGAAAATCCCAAGTTGTTGCAAGTTAAATAATTTTATCTCTACTTCTGTGACTTTAGAGATAATGGAAGACAGCAAGACAATTCTTTTCAGTGGCTGAAGAGATCGGAAACAATGTCAAGTACAGACAGCCACTGATTATAGCTGTAACAGCACTTTAGCACTGAAATTTTACTGGTTTCCATCATCTCCCTCCAAAACAAAAAAATACTCATTTTTTCCAACTTATTATCTTCCTCAAATCTTTACCACTGAAGCAAAGAAACATACAAAATGTAAAAAGATAACTTCTGCTATATTCAATACCAATCATACCTTTACTGGTGGGACTGCTGCCTTCGTAGGTCTTTCCTCTGGTTTGTTTAACACAGAGGTTATTGTTTTAGAACTGCAAAGAAAAACCATGCAAAAACTTCAGCAAACAGGACATTACTTAAGCCTTTTTCAAAAAGCAAACCAGGGATTTGTTTATAACATACTCAAATATAACCTCTTGGCACCTAAAGTTTTCTATTTAGCCTGTTCTCATCAGATTAGAAGCAAATGTTGTCCTTTCTGTAGTTAGGGGATATTCTTGCTGCTTTGTTTCCTTGCACAAATTTCTTTGCTTGTTAAAGAATTCAATACAACTTCTACCTGGCGTGACAGAAATGGTATTTTGGATATTGTTTAGATTTTTGAGCAGGCTTTATGTAAATATAGCCACTCTCCATATACTATCAGTGTTGCTGTCTCCATCCTTGTCCTACATTTATACTTCTAGGACTGAAATCAAAGCGGAGAAAAGTGCCAAAATCTGATACAAGTAGAGTTTTGCAAAGTGTCCAAGTCAGAAAAATCGGAGGAACCCCATCAACCAGTATAGCAAAGATGTGACACACCACAGATGACAACACATCCCCTCAGAGCTACAGCTTATAAGCTATTCTTTGAATTAAGACCTATAAAATCTGTGGTTTGATAGCGTGAGCAAGTTATTACTTGTGATCCTGACTAAGTATAGCTCAAATAAGGAGAAATTAAAACAGCTAAAAGAGACAGCTCCTACATGATATCAAGAAATATTTCATCTATTTGCAGAATGATGCAAGGGGTTTTTTTTCCTCAAAACAATCCAATTTTTATAATTTGATTTTATCTAAACATCTCAGGTATGAAAAAGCACTTGCTTTTTGAAGATTGAAGTTAGATGTGGATTTAAATATGGTCTTCATATAACAACCGCATTCAGTATCTTAACTTTATACAGAAAATGCTGGCATTAACCAACTTACATGCTTATGATTTTGGGGATGGGGGAAACAGTACAAGGCAGGAAAAATGAATATTCTCCAGGTAGGAAATATGACCTCAGGCTAGGAAAGAAAGCAACTCCTACAGCTTTTTCTGCTATAGATGTACAAGAAGATTCCGATTACTGGGTATTTCTTTGGTCAACGATATTTGGCATAGGTGAAAAGACTTTCAGGTATTGATTGGTAAGTAGCAGGGCCATGAGACAATGCTTTTGAGGGCAGATGTGGTGTCGCAGGAAAAGAAAATAGCTCCCAGCTTTCATCAAGTTCCAGGTTCAAACAGGAGCTGTCTACTCACATGGACAAAGATCTCTCCAGTCAGGTAACTGGCAACAGTCTGCCCTGCTGAGGGGAGAACAACTTTCCCATCTTAGAATCATAGAATCATAGAATTGTTTAGGTTGGAA